GAAAACTGGAAAAAGTGGAAGGAACTTGGGAAAATCTGGAAACAGATAGACAAAGGGAGTCGTATTGGGGATGGGAACTAGGTGAGGGGGAGGTCGTACTTGCTGAAAATTCTCCCCAGGACGTGCCTAGAGATACCAGTTTCCGGCACTATTTCCCTTTGTTACCCCACTCTTCAAGAATTTTCTGCCACGGGTAGATTGAGCCATAAGATTGTCTTCTATTGTCTCGAGAGAGTTAGGTGCCTGAACACGAATATCGCATCCACTTGAAGTACTGGAAGTGAAAGTGGCCGCTCGAGAGGGGCCATTGCTACAGGCCTGTTCTGCCCCCCCCCCTCCGTCTCAGTAGCTCAAGTAGTAGTTCATGCACTTTCATTTTTGCACATTTTCACGTACGACAGACCACCCATTGCGCATTATGTGACTCTAAAGCTGCTATTATGCTTACATGACCTGATTCTATAGAATTAGCCAAGCGTGTCAAATATATGAATCAGATTTTATTTGAAAATATCACTGCAATAAAAAACTATAATGTAAAGGCGAAAGAAGAGAGTTTGTCCTTAGAGGCTGTACACACTTCGTTTGGATTTTTTTGTTCTCAGTGCTAGGATTTTCTGCAGTAATTAGTGAATAACAGTAATTATTGCAGTGATAAGGGCACGCCCTGCTGTTCTTTCTTCTGCAAAAATTCTGCAAAATTCGACCCCTCTTCTCCTCAGAAATTCCTCCTCTGCTGCAATGCTCCCCATCCCTTGACATCATCTCTCCTACTGACCGTCTTCCCATGTTCTCCCAAATTCGAATCACTTTTCCGGAGTTTTTCCCCCTAAAGTTCTCTAGTCTAGTTGTTCCGTCCTGTGAAAGGGGGTGGGTGCTGGGTGATAGCGCACTTGAAATAGGAATATCTAGGAATGTAACAAGGCACCTCAAAGCCGTGTACAACCTCCCTCTTCCCCTCGCAATCTAATACGCCCAGGGTGCAGCATCGTTATGCTCGAAATGGTGGTGCCAGTACAACCCCCTTCTCGAAAGAGGGTCCCGGTTCGACCATCCTCTCCCCCTCCCCAACACCTACCTACACTTCCATACACGCCTCCAGTTTCCTACCAGTTCTCTCCAAGATTTCCCGAAAATTTCTACTTCTTCCCCAAAAATTTTCCGTCGAGGGGAGGGGGCGAGGTCGTCAGCAACCAACTACTATTTTCAACGATTCGGAAATAGTTTATATAGAGCTTTGGCGGCGCCACCAACTAGAGGTGTGTAGCAAATGTGAAACGGGAAAAACCGCGAAAAGTCAACAACCGTAAAAATTTTTCGTCCTTAACGCGGCAAATTTCTCTCGAAGGCGCATGTGACCCTCCCTTCGATCCTCCCCAGTGTATTCCACACAACGATGCTGTACCGTCTGGATACGCCACCTCCATCGCTAAGGATTCTTAGCGAACGATGTGCCCTGGCGGTCTGGCGCTAATAGCTTTTACCGTTGACTCAGCACTTTTGCGATAGCTTTCAGATCGAAACCTGTAGGATGAGCTTTAGGGAAGAATATCGAGGAGGAGGGGTGTAGTGGCAAGCGCACGGTCCGAGGATCAAATCCTGGGCGACCCCGCCTGGACGAACCAAGCCTTCTACCCTCCGGAAGCGGTAAATTGGGACCATATTCGTCTGGAAGGATAATAACATTGACTTGAACATCGGCTGGCCACCGCGAGTCATTGTATGGGCCACAAAGCCACCACGATTCTGAATGGAAGTAGAATACATGGCGCATCTCAAAAAGGGATCGATCAGCGGAGACTTTATCCTTCTTATTTATTATTTTAAAGGTAGTTTAATGGTCGTGAAAAAATTCCATCATTTCCAGCGGTAATCTAAGCCATAGCAGGGGAATCTCCCTCGATCAGATTCGTATATACTCAAGGTCGTCCTGCGCTGGGGATAATCTATGGTTTATGTGGTGCCATTTATCTCGAGGATTGTCCCATAATTCTTGTCCCATTTTGTTCATATCATAATTTTTCTGTTACAGCTAGGGTTCTCGTTGGATACGTGATAGGTGTGATATGTTGGAGAGAACAGTGGGGGCTTAGCCAGGATTTCTAAAAACAACGCTCGTTGCAGACCAACCAGATCAACTTCCTCTAGTCTGCCAAAGTGCCAAAGGAAGGGTCGACAAGGTCTGGGTTACATCGGGGTCCCCTCACAGTAGGGAGCTTTAGGTTTAGGGGAGGCCCATCGACCCGATCGGAGCAGCAGCTGTTCTCAGCTGAATGGACTTGGCTACTACGAAATGAAGTCCAAGTAGATGCCATTACTGTTCGAGCACCACTCTTGACTATCCGCAAAAGACTTCTTGTCCCACAGTATGGGCAGAACGTTCTCAGGTTGATCATCGCTGAAGAGAAGACAGAATCCGCTAAAAGAAGAAATCGCGACACACGTAGTAGCGGCGCTGTTCGGCGACGGGGGGGGGGCATTTTGTACCTTCACTGCTTTACTAGTTCCGGTTCACAAGTTCCGCTCTGGTGAAACCTGTGAACTCTTGTGAAGCTGGAGCAAGCTCGTCTAGCCACCATGGTAAAACCCGTCAACTCTTGTCTTGCTCATGAAAGAGCTCTCTAGATGGCTCGGAGTGCGAAATGCCCCCCCCCGTCCATCCCCTTGTACATAGCTGTTCTGCAGCTAAAACTCAGCAGCCTCACCAAAGTCTGAGGCCCATACCCGGAAGGTCAGGCCTCATAACGTTATCCACGCGAACGATAGGGCATGCGAACTGAAGCGCAGTCAGGACTGTGTTGCCGGCCAGTTTGAGCGAATGTAGGTTGACGACCTTGGTGGAGAAAGCCGCTGTGTATGCGCCCTAGAAGGCGCCCCATTCCACACCCCATCGTTTGCAGGGATCAGTATGTAAGTCGCACCTGTGCAAAAGAAGCTCCCAAAGCTTCGCAGTCTCACCTTCTCGACCTCTCGAGGTCGCTTTGGAAAACCATCCGTCACATTCTTGAAAAATATGACTGAAGGAAACAAGAACATTCACTGCATTTTTGCCGTTACTTCAAAGAGAAGTCAGACCACCATCTGGCGAGACAAAAAAAAATTGAACTGCTAGAACAACCTTGGGAACGACCTCGTCAAAGTGTTCGACCACCGGGGTCACTTTTTTTGCAAATAACCCGTTCGGTCATGGCCAAGCAGATGGCTAGACGTCACTGGTTCTGTTATTCATTGCCAACTACATATTCAAAGTGGAAAAATTGGTGAATTGAGTGCTTCTGGGACATCCATATTCCGACGTGGGCGGGGTACTTTATCTTACCGTAGCAGCCTAACGTCTTTGACCAACTCAAGATAGGATGGCACTTTTTCAAACAGAAATATTGTACCAAAATATATTCCACGCCTTCTTTAAGCGGGATGCGCGGCTACGCCTTCTTTGAGCAGGATGCGCGGCCACGCCTCCTCCATCTGCTTGATACGAAGTTTAACCATAATTATGTATAAGAAGTTGGAGCAACTAGCGGATTTCACAGCCAGTGTATCTGTGGAACATCACTGCTATGGTCCGTGCCGCTTTCGTCGCGCGTTGGCAGCACAGTTGCAAGTTCACCATAACATTCAGGCGCGAGTTCAAGGCGGACTGTCATCGCCTTGGGCGCTTTTCTTCTTGGGAGGGACATTTTGATTCGCCTATAGATCCTATTGCTTGTTTCTGTCAAGTTACATTTTCCTCCTTGGCGAAACCTGTAGGATCTTATCAAGTGTAAAGAAGCTCCTACAGCTTCACAAGAATTCACATGCGTACTGGTGTCTACAGGATGCGTCGGCCGTGATCGATGTGAGCCAGTAAAATGCCCCCACCAAGCCGAGCAATCCTCTGTCCTAGATATCCTATTCACTAGAGATCACATCGCCGGCTCCCTTACATTTTTGACACTATCCACATGCCATCGGTATGCACTAACCACGGAACTTAGCCCATTCGATTTGGTCCGTTAGGTTTGATCTCGTTGATATGCGACAAGGAACTCAAAGAATTCCGTGAAACTGGTTATAGTGGGGGCATGGGAGGAATGAGAAACTGCTTGAGAATGTGAGTTCACAGGGAGCATGACCGCCCCCAAGTATTCGCACCCGCCGCCCGGCCTACAGCAAACTCGAGTGGTTGAAAATTGAGGACATTAAACGAACTTGCCAGAAAGCGACGGATTTCGGAGGATTTTAACGCCGATCGTTGTTGTTGGTGAAAGCGAAGGTTTTCCTCATGAAAACGCTCCCATTAGTCCCAGCCTACAGCCTATGCACCGTTTTTTCGGCGCGCTATTCATGGAAGTGTTGTCGGCTTTCACATAAGATGATTCTCTCAGCTAGGATATTCTGCTAGAACCAGATTGACCTTATTACACTGTGTCCCTGATCCTATTGAACCCCCTCCTTCTCAAACGTCGTGATAGTTCAGCGTTCTGGATCATATTACAACATCAACGACAGACAGCATCAATTGGCTCGTTTTTCCAGATGCTACCAGATATTTTGGTCCGCGATCAGCTGATTCCGGAGCCATATTTTGGTCCGCGATCAGCTGATTCTGGAGCCAGAGTCGAGTCTTCATACCGCACACATATTCAAGTGCTGAATCGAATTCCGAACGGGTCAAAGTTTTCATGCAGGGCATATCATCTTTGCGCAAAACGTAGACAGAGTGTGGTCGTATTCGGCTTCGAGGATGTTTTGAGTAGTGATTCCTTCCATTCCAGGAG